CCCCAACCGTGTAAGCCCCAAATCCTTAATCCCACATCGCTTGGGCAGGGGGCGACGACAGCCCCGAGCGCGCCAAGAAATCCCCAGCTCCGCCTAACGAAGGCTTTAGGGCTTGAGGGATTTAGGGTTTTGGGGCTTCAGGGGTTTGGGGTTTCAGGGTTCGGGGTTCAGGGTCGAATCCAGGGACCTCAAGAATCAGAGGAGGTGTGGTGGCAAAAAGCAAGAACAAGTTACAACTATTGCAAGTACAAGTGCATAGAAACTAGGAGGCGATGTCATTTTTGAGTCCAACTTTTCCGGCCCTCTACTTTGCTTCGGTCACGGCTTAGGGCTTTGGCTTTGGTGGCTTGGGAGCTTGGCTCTGAAGCTCAGGACGCCTCTTTGGAGTTGAGTCGCTGTGGAATTCGGTTTTAGGGCTCTGGATTTCTAGACAGGCTATGGGCTTTGGGGTTGAGGACGCCTACGGTTCAGGGATGAGGGTGCAAATCTTAATTCGAGTGTAGTATAATTCCAAGGTTGAACCCATGGGCCCCTAATATGGGCCCTTAGGGGATTCTAGGGTCCCTTAAGGGTATATATAGGGTATTTAGTAGGTATATTAGGGTCCCAGGGTTAAGGGCCCATACTAGGGGCCCATGGGTTCTACCGTAGAATAATATATCCCAAAACCCTGTTCTAATGATGAAGGCCCCTAACCCTACAGTAATCTTGGAGAAAGGAAGAGACCACCTCAACTCCCAAGCAGAAGGCCTTGCAGCTGCTCGCAGCCTCAGCCATACAAGCTTTCACCTCTACCTACACTCTATGAATCCTGTTGTTATGTAAATACCCTAAACCTCAGCAGACCTCTAAACTGCCGCTTCAATCTCGTTTGAAGCCGTCATGATAGAGTTCAATGAAACGACAGGCCGAAACTACACGACCACAAGCCCTCTAAACCCTGAGCCCCAAACCCGCCCAGAAATCCGGAGGTGGCTCTGGCAGCCCCCAGCGGGGGAAGAAATCTCCAGCCCCGCCGGGGGAAGGCTTCGAAGTTTACACCGGCTTGGGGTTTTAGGGCTGAGCGGGTGCATTAAAAGTTCGAAGAGGTGTTGGAGGGTTTAGGGTTTTCAGTAGCGTGCTGTTTTAGTGTACTTTGAAGTTGTGCACAGGTTGCTTTATCGCGTTTGTTCTTTGTGCACTTAGTTGTTTCAGAGATTTGTGGGTTTGGGCCTTTGGAAAGCTACGTCTTTACGTTCCAGGTTCAGGGTTTCGCATGGTCGAGCAGTTCACGGTGTTTTGTGTAGTCGTTTCTGACTCAAACTTTACTAGCTACCCATAGGCTCCATTGTGGTTCCTATTTGGAGTTTCCTTACAGGATCCTAAATGTAGACCACAAAAAGGAACCGCAATGGAGCCTATGGGTGGAGATGTATTCTCTCTTTCAGTCTTGAGGTCTCCAGGGTTCGCTGGGAAGCGTTGGGCTTTGGAGTGCAGGGTTGGGATTCCAAGGGTTCGAGTTTTTTTTGGACCCACAAAACCCGACACCTCAGACCCGAAACCCTAAACATGTAATGGTCCGAGAGTCGATCCGGACTCTCGGAAATGGCTTTTCGAAGACAGGGAGAGGGAGACCCTGAGAGCGCCGTTGAAGAGGGTCCCTTCTTCATCTGAACCCTGAACCCTACACCCTAAACCGACAGATCGATCGATCCCTTGTTGAGCCAAGCCCTACAGTCTCTCCCTGTTTCTCCTAAAAAGGGAGCCCCTAAGCCCCAAATCCTATCGAACTCTACAAAGATACACCTGAGCCTTAAATCCCTTACATAACCCTTGCAGCACCTTTGAGCAAGTTATTAGAGGAACCCTAAACGGACTCCTACACTCCCCAAGCCTTGTTTAACGTAGAAGTCGGAATGATTGGTAATACTATTCCTTTAGGTTTCGGACTTGTCGGTGTACTTCAGGATAACATTCCCCCAGAACGTTTTTCCGATCATAAAGGCTTCCTCTGTTATTGAAACCTTATATCGGAGAATAGAGCTTGTAAAGGAAGCCCTTCAGGACCATGTTTTGGTTGCTAAGCTCTCAAGCCCTAATGCCCTAAGCCCTTCCCACTCCGTAAGATTTGAAAAATCGGGGGCGGACTAGTTCGCATAGAATACTGTTCCTTAGGGCTCCTGATGATAATTCTGGTACGACATACACCAACACCGACTTTGAGTATCCAGTCCCTGTATACTCCAAGGGTCCTAAATACCTATTTAGTAGGATGCAGGGTTTCGGTATTAGGAATAAGAATGAATTGTGTTTTGGGAAAGTATCCCCCATAACAGTACCTAGGACTCTTTGGCATATTGAGCTGTGAATCACCCTCGGCTCGCACCCTAAACCCTAAACTCATCGCAGGACCCCCTGTTCAACTCTGGGCTTCTCCAGCCGCAAAGGCCGCGCCTGGGCGACAGCTTTTTTCATTTAGGGCGTTTAGGCGAGGCTTTGTTTTTTTTCGGTCGGCGTGGGTTTGTGGTAGTGCCTTTGTTTCTGGTTGCATTGTGCTTTCTGAAGTTGCTCTTGGAGTTTAAGTTGTTCTGAATCTTTCTGGGCATTCCGGGATTGTGGGGGGGCGTGTTGCCGCGTTTGTTCTGGTAGGTGCCATTCCTGCTCGTCTTGTTTAGATTGCTCGCAAATGCCCCAAATAAGCGACCAAAACCCTAAACCCTAAACCCTGGAGTGGAAAAGGGTGCTTAAAAAAACCTGGCGATAGACCCGAAAGCTTAGCACACCATAATTGTTGAACGCTACACAGCATTGGCTGTACGCTTGATTTAGGCACCAGAACAGTGCTACTGGATGTGGCACCGCAGTAGAAATCTAGTTGATAGTTACTATGGAAACCTCTTCCACGCCAGAGTCCCTAAACGCTAAAGGCCCTAAACCCTGTTATGATCATAGTCATATTACAAAAGACCCCAAACTAAGCCCTGAAACCCCGACGCTACTATGCTCTGTGGACTCAGGCCGCACCCTCAATCCTGCAGTCTCAAGCGACCCTAAGCCGAAATCAGAATCCTAAACCCCTAAAAACAACCCACAAGCGCCGCCCAATTCTGAACTCGGAGCAGTTGTTCTGAACTCGAAATTCTGCCCCTCTGCAAGCTGCTATCGGACCTGAAATCCCTGAATGGAGCCCGTACAGAGTGCTTCCAGGTCATCCCGGAGCCGCAACCGAATAACCCTCAGATGGCAGACAGGGAAGTTCCGGAGATTCAGGACCCAGTCATATTATTCATGCTCTTGCTATCGTCAGTGTTCGGGTTACTGTGTGACTGGTGTTCTAAACCATGGTTATGATTCTGGCTATGATTCAACGGCACATTGTTACGATACTTGTATTTGGAAACATGATCAGTATTTAATGGAATGGCCGAGGTCTGGGGGTTGACAAGGCTTTGTGTTCGTTAAACCAGGAAGCGTACAAAAGTAACGTCGGGTGGTGGCTAGTAGTAGTCGTCGTCGTCCCTGAAGCCTAAACCCGAAACCCCTGCGACCCTGCACTGTAGTGCTCGTTCGCAGAGCGACAATGGCAATATGGGTTCTTTTCCAGGATCTGGTGCCACCCCAAACTCCTGGTAAAGTAAGCAGCGTACACTAATCCGCGTTCGGAATGCGGCTTAACCTTTAGAGTTCAGGGTTTGTTTGGGGCTTCAGGAAAAGCAAATGCGGTCGTTGGATTCATGCTATTGACACAGGGCGTAAGGTTTAGGGTTCAAGGCAGTCAGTGTGGTCTTTCACCGGAGCGGGAACAGCCCTCACCTCGTAATGGGTAGATATGCACGATCGCAACAGGACTTGTGGCACAGGCGGCCCATGGCAGTGGCTCAGGAGGAGGGCATTAAGCCTACAGATGACGAGTATACCTTACGACCCCAAACCCTGGAGTTTCTGGCAGAGCTTGCATCACCACTGTATCCTCTAGCCCGGAGAAGATGAAGCTTTCCAATCTAGTAAGCGGTCGAATAAACACCAATGGTATCCCCTGATACTCATGCATACAATCCTACTACAATATACTTCTCATTATATTACACCCTTGGAATAGCAACGGTTACTTATTTTGTTACACGTTTCTGGTAGTAATTGCTACGTTTTTCAGTATGGTACACTTCTCTAGTAGCAATAACTAGGCTTCTTATTATACCGCAGCCTCATAGTAACAACTACCAAGGACTCAACACCGAAGCCCCAAACCTTGACTCGAACCAGAGCAACACAGACAGGGTCATGGTGCTGAAATTGGTTGAATGTCATACCTCCAGTCCTCCTCATCACTACAAGCATTGGCTAGGTAGTTGCAGAACTCCAGGCGACAGCGTCCCAAGCCACCAGAGCCACAGCAAGGAGAGCACAAGTAGGCGGCTGCGATGCTAGACCCACATCTCATCCCCTGAACACCTTTAAACCATGCTAGCCTCATTGGTTCATTGCTTCCCTATCAAAGAGGAGTCCGTGCAGCTTCCGTTTGCATCCCTACATGCCTGGTTTACACACATGACAACTTCGGGAGTTCTGAAAAGCATCTTGAGTAAAAGGACGCTTTAAACAAGGTACGGCTGACTTTAAGAGGCCCACAGATACAAGCTCACCATACACCCATTGCAAAACCGACCCCCTTCTAAGACCTTCCACCGGCACCCTTTTGATGCGAGCCTTGAAATTTTTTGAATAAACGGCAGGCTCCAGACTTGGTGGAAGAGTGTGAACAGGCTATCTCTCTATCTGACAAGGATGCCGGCACAGTGCACCTGGACAGTTTAACGGTTTTGAATGTTGGGGCTTTCGGGTTTAAGCTTGAGTCCAGTGAGTTCAGAGGCACTGGCAGATCTAACATCACTATCGCACCAGGCCTAACCCCCACCCCACTCTGCCTAGACTCTGAACTCGGTCGGTGGTGACCTTGTGGGACAGTCGGAAGAAGCAGCTCAGAAAACCAAATGAACAATTTCACAACAGACCCTGACAAGGTATCGTGAGCTGGTGGAGAAACTCTTGGAGGTATTCGCCTCGCACCGCTGGGGACATCATGCGGATACGCAGCTTGAGCGTTCGCTGGCAGAGCGGCGGGCAGAGTGGCGGGAGACGTCTGTGAGCTTCCTGAGTCTGGGATGATCTTGTGTGTTCATTACAAGAAAGTTTGGGTGTAGATGGTATGCATGTATATATGTATGTCATACAACGTAAGGTTTAGCGTGTTTTTTGTGTTAATGTATTTGTCTGGCCATTGTGTTTCTCATGTATGGGTGAGCTCAACATTGCATGCGTCGAGATACAGGAGCGTTCACGCATTCCACCTGCGAGCGTCTAAGAGGTGTCTACAACGCGAGACAAATCCGACACCCGATTAAACTGCAAAGCTTGAAGCCTATAACCTCGAACCTGAAACCCTAAACAACACCCTAAACCCTATACCCTGAAACCCTAAACAACCCTGAAGCCCTTCAACCAAGGAAAGTCGAGGAGCATCCAAAGCTCCTCCGCTGCTCCGAGCGAGCCCAGGCCCTGCTCCTGAAAGAGGCTCGGTCCAGCATCAGCACCCTTTTCGCCTTTTAGGGTTCACTTTCACCCCAGACAAAACCCCTACCTTTTTGAGGACTTCTGTAAAGAAGTCATAACAAGGATCCCTAAAAAAGGTAGGTTCTTTAGGGTCCAGGTAGGGGTTTGGGGGTCAGGGTTTTCGCCTTTAAGTCTCGGTGTGCCCGTAGTTATGATATTCCAGGAGACTTTCGGCTTTCCTTCTGAAGCCTTTTAGGGGTTTCGGGGTTTAGGGGTTTAGGGTTTAGGGTTTAGGGTTTATGGGCTACTAGCACCGGTCTCCTTAGTACCACTGCACACTTTTGGTTTCCGTATCTGACACGGAAGACTAGGACAAGGGTAGCCTGATTCTGAAGCAGATACTGGCGGAACCCAGTCCGAAGCTCTTTCTTTGCAACCCTATAAACCCGAAACAACTTTGCAAAACCCTGAAAAGAGCAGGGCTTATATCGCCCTGCGTGTTGAAAGTACACTGGCTAGCCAAGGAGGGACCCCGCAGCGACACACCGGCCCTTCGCCGAGCGCTGGAGGAGCGTTGGAACCCAACCCTTGTGAGGATTCTTTAGTTTAAAGGCTTGGGGCTTCAGGGATTGGGTTTACGGCTTCAGAGTTTGTGGGGAAGGCATGTTGAATGTAGGAATTCCTATGAACCCAAGCTTCGGCATTGTTTATCGTTTTGGAAATGTCTTTACCCGAGATTTAGAGTTTAACACTGATGGTCTTGAGTTGTCTCGTGTGCTCCCTGTGGTTGCAGAGGTTTAGGGTTTTGGGGGGTTTTGGGCTTTGGGGTGTTAGGGTTTGGGGTTTCCAAAGCTGGGCTTTCTCGGACTTCCAGCAATGGGTCTAGGGGTCTTAAATGGGGCTGCGGGATCTTGTACATCCGCTTCACAGTCGTAATACAACAAAGCGCGACGTCGGCAAATGCCATAGTGCCTCACCATGCACGTCACCCATGCATATAAGTCCTCAGCGAGCAACGCTTTATGACTTTAACCAATCCTTACCCGAAGATCCAAACACCAATAATCATCTACTCCCCCAAACACTAACCTACTACCTTCCCCCCTCCACCGAAAACCACCAGAAACCCTAAAGCCTTAGCGCCCGGAGAGCTTTCGAGGATCTCTGGACTCAGCCGGAAGAGATCGTCGAGCTTCCGGAAGACGTCGAGTGGACCGACCATGCCCTCTTGGGGCAGGCAGTGACGGTTCAGGGGTTTAGGGTTTCGGGNNTAGGGTGGCTGTAGCAGCTTAGGGTTTTCTGGGGCTCCTTGCAAAGATCTACGAGGGATCTGCAAGGCATCTTTAAGGGGTTTGCGTTTCTTGGGTTGAGGGCGTTGGGGTTTCAAGGTTTGGGCCTTCGGGGTTTGGGGATTTCTAGGGTTTCCGGTTCCGAGCTTCGGGGGGTTTAGCTTTGACTTATAAGTTGGTCTTAGGGCATTGGTCCTTCGGCGCTTATGCTCTAAAGGGTACTGATTCGTGCCGTAACACCCGCATCCCAGAATCCTGAAGCCGTAATCCCCACACCGTGACCGCTGCAGCCTCGAATCTGCGGCCTACATAAGAACAATAATACCAAGAAGAAGAATACATGGTTCCTAGACCCAAGCTGAACGCGGAGCCCTCACCCTTCAACCCTAATCCCTCAACCTGCACCCGTAGAGCACCAAAGCTTGGGTTGGAACCCAAACTCCCTAAAGCTTCAAATCGAATCACATTAAGGCCTCTATATTACCCCCCCCCCCCCCATCCGTCCCACCAAAAACTGCTGAACCCTCAAA